AACATGAGAAGACCAAAATGAAAACGAAAACGACAACGAAATTTACCTTATTGGAGACTTTAGAAAATGAGAGCTTTAGAGATTAAACAAATGAATGGAGGGAAAAATTGAAGATAATGAGAATGGAGGGGGAATATTATATATATAAAAGAATAGATGAGAAAGCTTTGCATCTTTTCAAATTAATTTAGAATTGTCTAAGATATAAATAACTCGTAATTAAGTTTAGGTTATTAATTTTTATAATTTTAACTGTTCATATAATTTTTAAAAAAGATGGTTCTATTTATGTGTTTTAAATTTATTTAAATTCATTGGCTGAATGTATGATTTTCTACAATTATAGCTTCCATAAACCATCTTGGATATAGTTAAAAAAGGGAGACATTAAAACAGCAAAATGATCGAGAGAGAGACATACTCCTCCATTTTTTTTTATAATCATTTTGGCATTATTTTTTGAGTTAATCACTTGTAAACTGTTAGTGTAAAGTTTTTTTACACTGACAACCAGTTATATCTTTTAATAGTGTCATGTCAGTTGCTTATTTAATGAAATAAAAATAAAATAAAATAATTTAAAAGATATGATTGGTTGCCAGTGTAAAAAAACTTTACACCAGCAGTGTATGGATGATTAACTCTTATTTTTTTGTTATTTTTTCATTGTCACTTTTTTAAAACAAATGACTTATTAATTTTATTTTTCATTTTTACCCTTGATAATTAATGTATATTTACTGAATAATATGTTTATTCATTTTTTAATGTACTTTATTCTTCAACCACCTAAAGGGTATAACAGGAAAATAAATAATAAATATTTTAAAAAACTAAAATATCAATCATTTTCTTAATTCTTGTACATAACCTTAAACGTCAAATAAAAAAATGGAGAGAGTAAAGAATACTAATTACTATATATCGCAGGAAAACGTATGATGCAGCTAAGATGCTTGGAGTTTTGTCATTGAATTTAAAGCATCATGCAATTTGCATTACGTTTGGCTTATTCCTCAGTTCGTTATTTCATCAAGAGCAGAAATTTCTTTATACAGTGTGAAATCAGAAGAAGAAAAAAGTCATCCTCTTTGAGAATTTTCTACATTTGAAAAAAAAGTCATCCTCTTTTTCACTTAAAAGTATTTAAATTTTGTCTCAAAGCTAAAAGAGTTATGGCTGTGAATCTTGAAGTCGAATCACCACAACGAATAGTACTCATTAATTAGCATGTGATTATTACATACATGGTGTCTCAATTGTTTCATAAATAATTAATCCATCTGCCTTTGTGTAATCATTTCATTTTCCCTTTGTTTCAAATCATAATTAAGATCATTCGAATAAGATACGGTTCCTTCATTTTTTTTTAAATGTAAAAAAGACAGATTAAAAATGACATTTTAATAATCAAGTAGGTGTTACCTATTTGTAAATTTATATTAAAAACTTGAGTTTTTTTTTTACCTCAATCATAGATGGAGACTAATTTATTTATTTTTTGTTAATTACATAGATGAAATGAAAACAAAACATAGAGACTACACAGTAAAACACAAATCTCTCATATATATAAAAACAAGAAATGAAATAAAAGTTTATAAATCATATATATAATTCATTAATCAGAAAATTTTTAGATAATGACTAAAAATAAAGATAGGATATAAATTTAAAGTAAACAATATCATATTATTATAAAGTTATGTATGTAAAATATCCTAATAAACAATGAGATATAATAATTTTTCACTTAATAAATATATCTCGATACAACAAATACATAATATATTAACATTGTAAATTAATCAATAGATGGAGACAAATTCTCCTTAAAGTTCAAAATTTATTAAAATAAATTTTATTATTTTAATAAAATCCTTTTCATATACATATATGTATATGACCAGAAATTATACTCATTCGATCAGACAATAAATTTAAATAATTTTATTGTCTATTATTTATATTAAACCTTACTTAAAACTTGAATTGTTATTTACATCACATATTATTTGTATTTAAACATATAATTAACGCAAATTGACTCTTCTTTTTTCATTTTTAACTAAAAGAAATTGAAATATTATATATTTGTGTCCAAAAATGATAAGAAGTTTCTAGCTAATAGGTAGTAATTAATATGAATGTTTTGGTAATTTCATTTTGTTGGGTAATCAGTGTATATATCACCCACCACATGGGTGTAATTAATCATGAGGCATTGTGGAGGGGAAATGTGTTGTACTAAGGTTTTGTGGAAGAATGGTATTGCTAGGCTGTGATACACGCATGGTCCACATAATGGACAATGGCTTACGACTTACGAGGTAGGTCCCAAATCCTCGTCTTCAATGTTTTTTTGACTTTTGAAGATTTCAACCACGTGTTGTTCTATCATGGTCCATAGAAAACTGGCAATACATTACAGACTTGCATTATGTCTTTCTTTTTGAATGGCAATGTCAATGGTAATGGCAAAAGTTACTACTAATGAATAACACTACCATAACCTATTAACCTTTGACCGTAATATTCAGCCAATGAGTGACTAGTTGACTTATACATCTCGATTTTGATAAAGTAGCATGCATGCATGCAGCAGGGACTGTTATTGATATGTAATTGCTAGGATAGGACTTTTGTCATGCACGCTGTCTGTTTGAGAATACTATGACAGTTCCATCATCGCCATGCTCTCCTGCACATCTATTTGTGAAAATCATGAATTTATTTGTGATTGAAGCATTCATTAATTTGTAAAAAATTACCATTTATGTGTAATTGATCAGTATATTTTGAACAATAATAGGATATATAGTGATTGTGTCAGTATTACATATCTAAAAGAACTTGATTTGTTATCGTATAATTCACATTATATTCACTGCTGATTTTATGGTAGCATAATACCTTCTGCTACAAACAAGACCCTAAACACTATACCAACAATTATCAACATGCATGGTTGATACTACGGTTGACAAAGTGAGTTGTAGTTGGCCTACAAAAATTGACCGAAAGGCTCCAGTTCACTTGGCTTGCTCTACTTAGCTTGTCAATCCATATCAAGCCAAATGATGAGGCGACAGAGCGAGTTGTCCCGTAATCAATTTAATTTTTAAATATTATTTTTGATTTATGGTGCTTCTTTGAAGGTGCATCTAATGTTCTTAAAATGAAAGATGATGACAGCAGGGAGCTAAATGGTACACTATTATAAAATATTCTATAGCTACTATTAGTACTATGAAGAAGATAAAAATTACATTAGAAATAACATTCAGATTTTTCATTGATATCTCATAAGGTAATTAAAGACATATTATTTATAATTTAATAGTATTGAGAATGATGGTACAAGTGTCATCATCCTATTATTTTAAGATAGTAAAATAAATATTTAACTCTACTCAATATAATTTTTCAATCACTTTATTTTTAGGTTGGACCTCTCAAAATCCATTCTAACAATGACATTTTAGCTTCATTTATATATAATCACTTTGTGTGATTTAAGATATCAAGACTAATTTGTAATTATGTGATGTGTTATACTTTGGTCATTTGATAGATTAATTAATTATTATTGAAGACTATTATAATTAACATTTTGGGTTTTTGAAGAAGTACAATTATTTTGTATTGGTTGAAGTGTTGAACTATTATCTATTACATTTTGTATTGTTGATTTTTTTAATTTTCCAATGAAAGAAATTAGCTATGAATTTTCTTTTGGGTTAGACTGCAACAACTTTATATATCATATATAACTTTCACAAACTTAATTAAAAAGGTAGAACTTGTAATATTTACTATCAGTAGTTGTAATAATGTTTATGGAATGTTTAAGATGATTTTTTGTTCAAAAATATGATGGGATAAGCGAGGGCTTCAACCAACACTTATTACAGCCTATTTTTGGTGAATTGAAGGTGGAACAGGCCAAACAAAGCAGACTGACCTGTTTTGTTATTCTTAGTTGACACAATCGAAAAACTCTCATCACAAGGCATAGTATAAAATGAAACACATTGTATAATCCCCTGACATCATTATGATACACCAAGACTCACCTTGTATCACACCATTAGATGGGCACTAGGTAGCAAGAAATTAAGCGTTAGGTGTGAAGTATGTTAACTTTATGGAGTCCATAAGCTTTGTTTAATTCTACCTCGATTTATTTAAGTCTTCTAGGCAGGTGTCAAAATTATGTAGGGTCGCTATAACATATGTCTTAGGCAGTTGATTGTTGTAGTACGAGCAACATTTATCTTAGGCTCCACATCAATTACTCCCAAGTTGTAACATCTTGAGTTTTTTCATTTTATAATTAATTAGTTTATTTTATTATTTGAGGGAAGGGATGTGTAACTTGGGCTTAGTGTTTTAACTTATTGGGATAGGGAGGAGTTAATTTTTAAGAGGGAATTTGGATCAGTTTTTTCATTTTACACTTCTCACATTTTGTTCATTGTACATTTATGCTATGAAGGGTTAGAAGAACTAAAGTTCATGAGAGATCACCTCGAAGATTCATGTCCTTTGTATAGCATTCACCAAGGTAAGGAGAGTGAGTAGTATTGTTCTAGGCGTAGGGTATATGATGGGTAATGAGATTGACTCATAATCTCTTTTTTGTTGCATGTTATATGAAGAGAGAAACTCTCAATTTGTGATTCTTCAACATTCTATTTGATAATATTAACATGTATATGTGTTTAATTTCGTATTTTATATTAATTTTGTGAATCCTGGCTTGCTCATGAGTTTCTATGAGAATCTTAGAGGAATGCATTGGGTAATTTTTGAGGAGATGGTATGAGTATAAAATAATATAAGTAATTTTTGCCTCTTAATAATGTATGTAATCTTGGCTTTCACCAATTGTGATCGAAATTTGGTGAATGATGCTTATGTTTTGGGACTTACATTTTATACGAGGCTTGTGTTCTTTGATACAATGTCGAGTGCCACCTTGGACTTGTCGAGCGTCGGTGAGGCCGAGAGCAAAAATTGCTTCCAGGGTCGTTCATGAAGGACGTGGGACGGTCCACGCCAGGCGCTAAAGCTTCAAGGGACTCCTTGTGATGTTTTTGTTGAATGTGAGTTTGCTCACACTAGGTGCAGTTCAGCCCAAGAGCAACATTGTTCTCTAAAGGTTCTATGTCGGGTGCAAGATGCGTGCTGCCGAGCACCGTTCTACAGGTTGTATTTTCTTTGTTTGTGTTCACTAGATGTTAATGATTGGAATTTTGTGCTACATATTGATAATGCTTAGTTGTTGTGAGTGAGTATGTTAATGATATGATAAAGAATCATAAATGAATTGAATGATGTGTTGCATTTAGTATCTTCATGTGATGATAAGTTTATGTGAGGCTTAGTCTAGTGAATATGATATGAAAGAAATTGATGTGCAATTGTGGATGTGTAATGCGATAATATGATAATGTATTAAGTCTTGTTTAACATGCATCATGTGCATCTTATTTTGGATGAGTATGATATGGAATATATCACTAGGAAAGTCTCCTTGTGTAAAAATTTGGGGATCAGTCCTCGAGGATAGTTAGATTTAGGAATTTCCAATCTTGCCCATTATGTGCATGGGGCAGAACTTGGGCAATACAGGTGTCCGACAAGATTCTGATTGTATGTCCTCTTAGTATAGAGTGCGATGAGGGTGTGACCCAAAATAATGTCCTAGGCCACTTTGTGTGTTGTCTTATGGTAATACACCACTGTTTGATTTTATTGGCATCATATGCATAAACATTTTGTAATTTGTGTCCATTGCATCATACGTGTAAATGAATCTATGTGTTGAATTCGTGATGTTTATGAAGAAATATATTGTATTATCAATTATATTGAATCTTGCCATTTTATGATAAATTGCATTATTACCATGTTACTACCATGATTTAGTTTCTTACTATATATTGTCGTGTGTATTTGACTATCCAATTATATTCTACGTCGTGAGTTAGAGTTAGAGTGAGATGTTTCTCCCACTCTATTTTTTGCATTTGTTTTACTTGGATGTTGTTGCTGGTAAGATTCATCATAATGTTGATGATATGTTGGCAATGAGGCCTAACTTTTGCTTTTGGGATTTTGCTTTGCTAGGATCCAACATCTAGGCTTAACTAGGATTTGGTTTCTTTTGTTATGTTTTTAGGACAATTGTTATTTCCATTATATTAGACTTTTGTTAGTTATTGATATAGTTAAAATGTGATGCTCTCTTGTTAGACAACATGATTTTCATTAACCATAGATTTCTTATGATTCAATTTTACTTATTGTATTAGATATGGTATGTGAGATAGAGAATGTTACACAAGTAAAGGTTACTCTACAAATGTAAGACTAGCTTAAGAGCTTAAAAGTCATTAAAAAATTTAGCTTGAATTAAATTATTATATCTTTAGGTTAAAAAAAGGTATGATTCCTTCCAACTACAAAGTTCTTAAATAGCAAGAAAATAATCTAACAATATTATATTTCACAATGAAAGTAAACCAAGAGATGGTTATTTTAAAATTCTCAATTTATTTTTATTTTCAACACATTTTCTAAAATAAGTTCAATATAATTTTTTAAAATCAAAATAAAAGAAATTTTATTTGTTAATTTTTTTTCAAAAATATTTTTTTTAAAAGAATTGTATAAGATATCAATATTTGATAACTACATATCATATTAGATAATAAAAAATAATGCATATTTATTTATTACATCTAACCTATTTGTGTTTTATTGTTGAAGATGATTTGAGAGTGTGAAAGTATTAGGAACATTGCATAATTCGAAAGTCATCACAATTATCCTTAATTTTTTATTTGCAAATTGATACGAATTGATTGGATGTATCAATTTGAGGGATGCCAATAAGAAGAAAAAATCATTATTATTCTTTCCTAATTAATTATATGTTATATATTTTAAAAACCTATAGGAATAGAATCCCAAATTTTCGAATATCGAATTCATAAAAAGGAACATATAGTAAATTCCAATTTAAATTAGTATACGAAAGATCATGAATGTGTAAGTTTTTGTAAAGAATTTACTAAATCAAATCTAAAATATTCTAATTATACAGTAAGAGAAAACATCAAGAGTAGGAGATTGTATTCCATTCCGGAGTGCTAGGATCTATAAATTAAAGGTACGTTGAACTAAACAAAAACTAAGTTACTTTAATTATGAATTATGAATTATAAAAGGACTCCTTATTTCTACTATGAATTATGAAAACTTTGAAAGTGATAACTACGGAGTTAGTAAAGGAAGTTGAAATAATCAATTTTTATATATTAAATATAAATCTATATATTGTGTCGGAATTTTTTAGGAATTCTTTTTCAATAAAATTAAGAGTTTTTAATTTTTTTTATCTAATTCAATTTTTATTTATATAATTATTTATGAATTAATTTTTAATATTTTTAAAAACAATTATTGATAAATAGAAATATTATATTACAATATAAATTATTTAATATAAATCTAAAATATAATTTATATATTTAAAAATATCTATTTATTTAAAATTGTAATCATGATTTGTATATTCAAATATAATATTTATTTTTATACATGATTTATTATAAAATTTAGTTACATATAATAAATATTTAACATATATATTATTCATACTAAAATATTAGTATACATAAATACTTAGATTATCCTGTGATCATTAATGTAATTTTCACCCAAAATTGAAGAGCCTAATCAAAGACCCATCAAGAGATGAAAATGTCCACAAACCAATTGACGTGTCCTAATTAAGAGTCATTAATGTTTTGGATCGTCCTCGAGTTGTGGTTATCTTAGAATAAAGAGTTTTAGAAGAGGAAAAAAAGAGAGTTAGGAAAGAAGGAAAAAAAAACAACTCAAGTTTTAAACAAATATATCAGTGACACAAATGTAGTGAACAAGAAAATTGAAATAACAAAATAACATACGAGTAAACTTCAATATTATTGAACCTGCCCTAACTACTGGGCATCCTAGCCCAATTAGTCTCTTCCTCTACTTAACCTTTTCTTCATCCTCTTAAAAGACTTTTCTTAATCTACATCACCAACTCTAGCGAGGAAAGGAGAATTTGGAGTTGCAAGCAAACTAATCACTTTGATCATCCTTACTAAGATATCTTCACATAATAGTTGGAAATCAAACGAAACAAGGGTCATTCCATGAGAAGTAGAGCATATTTTAACTAATAATAATAAATAAATAAATACATAAAAAAATTTATAATAAAAAAAAAAGAGCAAGTGTCATGGCTAATCACTTGATCATCCATGATTCTTCTTCTTGATACAAGGATGATCAAAGTGATTAAACAAGAAACTCACTAAAAAAATGAGAATAAAACAAAATAAATCTTTCTTTTTATAGCAAAAATATAGTGTATAACTATGAAGGAAGAAAGAAGAAGAAAAAAAAAAGCAATAGATGTCTTGAAATATTAACATCCAAAGAGGAAACAGTTCAACGACAACATGTATTAATTGGATGTGGAAAACAACAAACCAAAGAATAACACGTGCTTAAGGGATTTGGAGGCTTCAAACTTGATGTGCATATGTACATGGAGTTACAAGTTGCTTGATTGGGAAACAATAGAAGGTTCTATATATATATTTTTTAATTTAAATATAGTAATAAATCACAGCCATAATTAAAAATAAGTTATAGCAAATTTAAATTGCATTTCTAACTGCTTCAAAGTTCAAACTCTTGAGTTGACCACAGTGGCCTATTTTAAGAAAGAAAAAACTAATGCATATTTGTAGCCGATACAGAAATTACTGTTCATAAAATTCCCTAGAGTTAGGCCAAGAAAAGAGGAAAATAAAACCAAAAAAACAAATCAAATCTTTCTGGGGTACACAGTCTCATGTTTGAGCAAGTATGGGCTAACATTTTGTTAAAATCCTACGTGAATGTAATGTTAACTTCAATTTTAATCATTTATATTGCTATCTGAACATCAAAAAAAATTATATGGTATTAATATTGCATTAAATTATCCCTATCTCTTACATATTTATCTTTTTCATATACACGCATCTTCAAAATAAACCCCCCAAAACAAGGAAAAACTTTTTATTATCCAACGTTGATGTTCAAAAATCATTCTCCAATTTTAATAAAATGTATTTTCATGCATGGCTAGTCTTTGATTGGACGAGAATGAGTAGATCATACTCTTTATTGCGTTTTTTCAAATAATTGCTCTTTAATTTCAAGCCAATTGCATCATCCAAGCCTTTTATCTCGTTATTATATGGATAATCTTCCTCGTTCCATCATGGCCAACACCGTTTTTATCTCTTCAACAAAACCACGAAATGTTGAACAATGTGGAGTTGTGGATACTAATGTGAAGTGAAATCATCTCAAGAGATCTGCATTCTGCTAATCATCAGGTTACACCTCCCTGTGATGAGCCTCTTTTGCCCTTCACAACTTTTAACAAAACAATGTCTCAAGTAGGTATATAGATTCACTTGCTCGTGTTGCATGGTGTCATTTTATCAAGTAATGTAAATGAATTGTTGTTGGATATTTTCCCCCCTTATCTTTTCATTTCAATGACTCTGTAAAAGTTGTTCTGCGTATGTTAATTTTATTCTTTGTATTGGTCGTCATTGAATTGTTATGAATTTTAAATATATTTCAATATTTTGTTTCACGATTCAATTTCAGGTATCAAAAGACCTACTTTTCTAACCCTTGTCTGTTATTTTTTCTAATGCGTTTAAAAACATTGCAATTATATCTATGCCTGATGGTTGGTTACTTTACATGCTTGGCTTGTAACCAATAAGCATAAAGCATATCATCAGTAAGATTTATTTCATTGTCAAATAGAAAGGTTGTTTTAAATCCATGGAAACATTCAACAATGACTAATGACATTACAATACGTGGATCAAAGCATGATTGTTAGTTCTATTGAGTCTGAGTGCAATTTCCCATTTGTTAAGTGATAGGAATGTGACTTAAACTTGGAAAACAAAACTCTTAACAAATTGATTGGAGTGTGCAACTCTTCCTGTGTTTGTTTGAAAATGTGATTGAGCACTATCAATTGTTGAATATTTGGAGGTAGGAAATATAACATTACCTTTTGAGTGAGAATGCTGTCTTTATAGAAATGAAATAAGTGAAAAGACTTGAACATGTAAAATTTCAGGCCAAGCGTATGCCAGGGAACAATTATAGCTGCATCCCTTTAACACCAAGGTCTAGATTGGAAAGGCTTCT